CTGTGTGTATCGTACAAACGTGGTAGGAATGTAGCCCTTCCTCGGTATTTATTTGGTGCTTGGGAAAGTGTCAGTTATTGTGCTCTGAGTACCCCTGGAAGGCCTTGATTCGATTTCGATCGATTATGTCAAATCCTTGCTCCGCTGTGTCTGGCACCCGAACATGGATTGTCGTCCACTATCTTCCTGGAACCACGCTCCTCGCCCTTTGTTGCGTGAGTTCTTTCAGCTTCTGCTATGTTACTGTAGCATTTCCCCTGAAATAATCGAATATCCGCAAATTCGTGAAGGGAAATTCAAAGTAAGTCACAGTTAAGTATTCCAATAAGCTATCAATTAAACATGAAACAATTTAAAAATAATGCTTAATAACAAAGATGAAATTCGATCTTCAACTGTTAAAATTTTCCTAGAAATTTTCGAAAAAAAAAATTTTCAATATTATACTCGTACTCCCCAAGTGAGCCTCTATTACCCCTTTATATGAAATCAGATATGGGATAATTTTCGGATTTAAAGGGCCCGTCGGAAAATCAAATATATTAATTTAATCTAAATTTAAGCATCTTGACTGTCACCAGAGCTGGACAAATTACTTTTTAAAATTATTTCAATACATTTACCAAATACTGTCAAGATTTAAAAAAGTAATTAACTACTAATTATTAATTAGAATATGCCGGTATTTGGTTAACAAATACTTTTAGTAAAGTATTTAAATACAAGAAAAAATGGTGTTCGTTACGGGACGCTCGACAGAAGTGATAACTTCATATTTTTATAGAAACTATAAAATATTGAACTTATTTAACGCATGATGGCAATAATAATTTTATTTTATAATTTTAATATTCTTGTTAGTCTAATAATTTATAAATCAATAAGGAATATGTTAAATTAAATTAAATTTCCTTTTGAATGTAAAATATCTTTTTTATTTGGAACATTTAACATTCTTTAACGAGATGTTGTACATATTGCTCTTCTTGGGATTGTGTAAACTCTTCTTCTTGAATTTCTGTATTTTTTAGTCGTAACTTCTTATTTCCTTTGTATAATCTTTGACGTTCAGCACTAGTTCGTGGTTGATGAAAACTACTTTTGAGTTGATTTATTACTTAATGCTCCTTTCTTAGCACGAAATCGTTTTTGGCGTTCAGCATTACTTAATACTTTTCGCATTGTAGCATGTTTTTGTGACTGCTCTTGTGTATGTTGTTCATGAACGTCTGCTACAACTTGTATCTGAATAGGACTAAAAAATCAATTAATTTTGGTGATTGGAAGACCTTCTATTTGTTTAAAATAGACGGTAAAACGAGGAAGAGCTATATAGACAAGATACACTTGACACATTATATGTATACATAAGGTAAGCCATCGCATGTTAAAAAAAAATTCTAACAACTAATTCAAGGCTAAAAAATTAAATCAAATTGAGAAGATTTAATCATAAAGGAATCAAAGGGAAAATATGAAGGGAAAAAATCCGTTTTGATGCGTGGTATACACAACTAATCATAGAAATAATATAGAGAATTGAAAATAAGCCCTAATAAATTCGTTTTACATATTTTGCAAGTATAAGCTGAAGAGAGATTTTTATCGTCTTAACATCAAGAATGCGTTGCGTGATAGAAAATAAGAAGACATGTGTGACGCATGTTTTCTGAAATAACTGAGGTAAACTCAAATAATTTTTCAATTAAATTCAAAACATATTTATTATATATTACAAAACAGTAACCGTTTTCAAGTTACAATTTATTTTATTTAAAAAATTCAAAAAGTTGCTACATTTTGTAAGGTGGCCATGGAAGTCAATAAATAAGTGTCAGAATTATCAAGTAAGAAAAAAAACAATTTACGGTGCATATGTAGCGTTGCAAGCTGCATTCCATGAGATAATGAAAAATGGCTGGTTCTATTTAAAAAAGAACACTTTGATCTTGCCCCGCTTTTCTGAGACACTCTGTATCATATAAGATATTTTTAAAATGTGCGCACTTTGTGCGTCAACAACTTTTATGTGAAACTATTTCACGAAAGTTCAACACCAACGGAAATAATGAACTCTCTCGTACTGAAAAATCACCCTGTATATGTATATTTTAACAAAAGTAGTAGATTTAGAAAATATGAAAACATTTCTAAATCACACAAAGATCTGTGAATATATTCTGTGAATATAGTATACTAGAGCTAAAGCATTTGTTTCTTTTTACTAGAACTTTTTTTATAATAACTACTATTTTCTTCTTATTTGATTTTAAGTTGAAGGTTTATAACTAGAGGGCGGAAAATATGCAAAGTGCATATCTATGCATTTTTTGCATATTTTATCCAATTTCATGCAAAATTGCATATATCTAAAAACACTGTATATTTGTGCATGTTTGAAGATTTTTCTTTTCATCTTAATGAAATATTATCGAAATTTCATAGGCGGG